AATATATACGATCGCACGTATATCTCAATGATTTCAAAAACGAATAATCTAATAAATTCTGAAAGATCTTGAATCTCCGTCTTAGGGTCTGTAGCGAATGGCCGCACAGATATCCGAAGAGAGAGAAATTGATCGAAATCTCGGGCGATTTCGAGATGCGCAGCCCCCGTATCTAGTCCAATTTTCTGATTCATTTCTCTTTTTTGGGTTATCCGCACGGCGGCGCAGAGGAGCGCATATATCTTCGTAGATAGATGCGAATAATCTATAAATTCTAGAAGATGATGATTCTCCGTCTGGAATCTATATATTCTGATAAGCAATCGTAAAGAAAGAGAGATAAAATACGCGGCAAATCGTTCCGAGGGGAAGGGTTGCGCGACCCAAAATCTCCGAGATTTTTGATCGTCTCGCTCGCACCAAAAATCTTGGAGATTTTAGATTTTCTAATTTTTCCGAAGGATTCTAAAATCTCCGAAAATTTAGAATCCCTAGGGAACTCGCAGGAGATATTTTAAAGACGAATCGGAAAAACTAGATCGCGCGCAAACGAAATGACCGCAAATGAATGCGCCGGAATATTGAGATATATTCGTATATATTATATCATGATATTCCTAATCCTCGTATTGCCTAATTCTTATAATTATATATCACGCCAAAATTCATATTTCCGTTCACTAATATTATATCTAATATCTATATCCCTCAGTTATAGTATATTATAGCATTTATATCGCTCAATTATATATCCGTATTTCTTCTATTTTCTCTTATTTCGAATTAAATGAATTCGTTGATTCGTTGGGACGCCATATAGATTTTCAATATCGTCGGCAAATCCTCTGCGGATTTCATGACGAATCTTCTGGGAATTTTGGCGATAACGAATCGTTGATATTATAATATTGCGTATATTAGTAGTGATGCCGGCGAATCTTCTAGAGATTTCGTATATCGAAATATTCTTATAATGAAATCGGATAAATTTCAAGATGATTTCATAGGTATCGGGATTTTCTCTAGTTCCGTATGAATATTCAATATCGTCGATAAATCTTTATGGATTTCGTATATCGAATCGTTCTCGTTCCGACGTCGTGTATATTATCAATGTCGTCAGCGAATTATCTGCGGATTTCGTGCGAAATCAATCGTTTTCATTACGATATTGATCAAATGAGATATATTGATAATTTTGTTCTTATCTTTTTCGAGGAATGATTATATTGATATATGAAATATCTTCTGGATACGATTTGGAATCGACGATCTTCTCATTATTTTCTTTTGGAGGCAAATCTATTGCGTGGTGCGTTCTAGGAATTCTTTTCGGCGTCGACGACCATCTGATGAGCTATGGCGCGTAGAATATTATTTTGGAGGAATGATAATATTGATAAGAGACACGTCTTATGAATTCTATTCGAAATCGACGATCTTCTTTTTTTCAGGGAGGAAAATGATGTAATCGTAGAGATCGTCTTGAGAATTCTATTGGAAATCGATAATCTTCTCATTATTTCGATCGGATAATAAAATTGATCGTGATATATCCTGAAAATTCTATTCGTCATCGACGATATTCTCCTGATTTTTGTCGAATAACGATATTGATATATATATATAGATCATCTTCAGATTTCTGATTTTTCGTGATTCGAGATCGATGATCTTCATAGTATTTTCGATGGATGCCATGACGAAATTATTATATGGGATTTTTTTAGAAATCTATTCGGAAAATTGAGCGGATGATAGCGTTAATATACGGATTTTCTTCAATATTCTTTTCCGAATCGATAAATTTCACGTCTTTTTGATGGAAGACGATATTATCATGAGTAATATCTTCGAAAATCTCTCATTTTTTTAGATGATTGATGACGCCAGGAAGACAAGCATCTTGAGAATTCTTTTCGAATTCCACGACGTTCTCATTCATTGATTCGAAGGGAGCTATATTGGGGAGAGGAGCTATGAATTTTCAAAATATTAGATGAATATCTATATTGCTAATATATGGAATCTCTTGAAAATCTTTATTAGAATCAATATTCGTTGTATATCTAATAATAAGAAATTCTCCAGATCTCAAAGATCGTAATCTCTGCATCTTCTCGATACGTCGCGGCGCCTTGATTATCCGATTCCCTCTCCCTCAATAAAAGAGAGAAATATCAGAATAGAAGAAAAAAATATTTCAAAATTATTAACTATCAATAATTACGAAATCTTATAAAAGAGATATCGATCTAATATATATATTATGCGAAAATATTCATTTGATATCATAATGATTCTCATCTATCTCTTTCTTGATCTTGAATTTTTCTAATGAAATCTTATATATATGATATTATTGAGATATCACGCCATAATCATCTCCTCTCATAATAATCATTTGATATAATTTCTCCTATCTAATTCGAATAATTATCTTTTTCATCTAAATCTTTCGTACGATTAATTGAGATCCTAGATCAATATCTATATAGATCTTTCTAAAGGATTAATTAGATATATATATATTTCTAGGAAAAGATTGATAGATGGCAGCGAGTCGAAATCCTGAGTCCCATGACCCGCACGGATAAGCCTCTGATGGATATCCTTGAAATACGCGCTTTCTTATATATCCCTTGTCGTGCGTTGTCGCGCGATTATAAAAGATTTAGAATTGGAGGGCTTGTCGCCCCAGGCGCGCACCTGTTATATGCCCCTTGCAACGGGGTATGTCGCGTGCGTGGGCCCCGACCTTATTATAAGCCTTTGATTTTGATCCGCTCCCAGATAGAAGTATTATTAGAATATATATTGGACGGAAAATCAATTTCCTCTGGCAATTTCAAGGCATTAATAATAATATATATTTGAAATGATCTCTATTTTCATGATAGGATTCTATAAGATTCCTAAAATAGACGAGATAGAGAATGAATCTTCTTCCAAATATAAAATAAAGAGATATAGATGTGAATACCCTATAAAAAGATTATTCTATGCGTATATATCGCACGAATATATCATGAGAAATTCGTCGTCCCTATTTCAATCTATATAGTTTCTATATCATCCGATCTAATTCCTATATCAATCGTATATTCTAAGATCTTTTCAATATTTATCTTCCAGGATTGATAAAAGAAATTCTTTTCGAATCCAAATGATAATAATCAGATTTATCTATATATATCCCAATAATTCCGCCGCCAGATTCATCTTGGCATTAAAGATCATAGTCAATATCATGAAGAATTAGAATTCTCTAAGATCCTATATAAATCGATATTCCCAAATATATTCCTAATATAGATGAAGGTAAGATGAGATTCTATTTATTAAATTATCTTTATATGAGATATCTTCAAAGAATTATCATCTTTAAATTATCTCATATCCCTTGTCTTCGATATAAATGAAAAAAAAATATATATATATAGAATATATCTTAATATGATGAAGCGACCATTTACGATCATTTCGATCGTGCGCAACCTAATTTTTCCAATTCGTCTCTAAAATGATTCCTACGGGCTCCCTAGGGATTCTAAATTTTCCGAGATTTTGTAATCCTTCGGAAAAATTAGAAAGTCTAAAATCTCCAAGATTTTTGGTGCGGGCGGCGCGATCAAAAAATCTCGGAGCTTTTGGGCGGGGCAATCCTTCCCGTCGGAGCGATTTTCCGCGTATTATATATCTCTCTACGCGGCTGCCTGCGCGGCTGCCTGCCTGCGTAGTTGCTCGGACGAATAAAGAGATTCAAATTTTACGTATTTATCATATATTCTCCCGATCCACCTTGCAATAGATAATCCAAAAGAAATAAAAGAAACGCAGATTCCGAGTCCCAAATCTTAGATCCCAAGAAAGAAAGTCTCCCCAAATTTCGAATCATATCTTTTTCTTCTTCTTAGATTATCTATATAATAGCTGAGAAATATATATAAATCCGAGATAGAGAGCTAAAATCTTTCAAAATCTATAGATTAAATATTTTCCTGAAATCTTCGATCTAAACCTCAAATATTTAGATTTCGTGATAATATAAAAAGAGATTATAAGCTTCAAGATTTTGACGAATTTATCATAATAGAAAGCTATATCATTTGCCAAATTGATCTGAGAGAGAAAACGATACATTAATCTATTGTAAGATATTAATAGAATCCGATTTAAATCAAAAGAATTTCAATATATATTAAAATTAGTAACGACCTAAGCTCTCCTAGAAAAATTCCTTCAAATTTATGAGAATCTGACGAAATTCAGAAGAATAATCGGCCTTAAAAATTCCCGCGACTAATAAGATTATCGTGAACCGTTTATGTTGTAGTGGCTCATCAAATCACAACCGAATAGAACCTCCATGCCTGTCAAATCAAATAAGGATCACGATATGATTCAGATTTTGAATGAAATTAGAATTTCATGTATCCGCCAGGAAGATAGAAATAAATCGTATCAAATTGCCCAGGAAAAAAAATTCCAACGATGATATGCCGTTGTTGCAAGCACCGGATCGACAGTTACAATACGAATATGAATAATGATGTTTGAATCCAATTTCGAAGATGACTAGCTACTCTCAGCTTTCATTCGCCAGCAGAAGATTATATTCCCTACATCCCAGGTGCGGACCGCGCATCCATGCGGCCAAGCTCTTTTTGCTGCGTTATTCATGATGCCTTACCCCATTCGGGGTGCCTAATCCTAGTACGTGATGCCGTGTGGACGCGTCTTTCGTGGCGCCCCCTTCTCCTGTGCCATGCCAGCAAGGATTGTATGTGATGCATATCACCTCAGCTGCTAGCTGCATGATGCTGCATGCATTCATTGTAGTTAGCTCGCTGCTGGCGTGATCAGGAGTCCCACCGTGGATCGAGCTACGGCAGTATGACTAGCGCAAGGCCTTTCACCCTGTCACTGTCAGGAAAAAATAGCAAAAGTGGTGCATTCCTGCACCGTTAGGAAACGGTCCCGGCCATTTACCAAGGACCTCAGGCCAAAAGCATAGTAGCGAGACCCAGCACAGCAGCGGACACCGTACCCGCAACTGCCGAGCTGGGAGGCTCTTCTTCACCATCCCCGTCCTCAGTCGTGGTGGTGGTGGTCTCATCGTCATCCCCGGCGCCCGTAGTGGTCGTCGCGGACATGGTTGTGGTTGTGGTCGTGGTCGATGCAGACGGGACCAGTGCGGTCTGCACTGACCGCACCTCAAAGCTGCCCTGGAACCCTGCCTGCGCAACGGTGTTCTTGATGACCCGCTGCGTCTCTGCAATGGGCGTAGTCTCCACTGCCACGCGCAACTCCTCGGCGGCCTCAATGGTGTCCATGGTGATCTCATACACGGCAAGGAGGGTGACGGAAAGCCTCCTCCTCTGCATTTGCAGGCGCCGCGCCTGTTCCTCGAAGGTAAGCTTCACCCGGTCCAAGTCCACACCCATCAGGTCCGCGAAGCCAGAGCGCATGGCAGTGGTGATGGTGGTGTTCTCGGTGATGGTCGCAGGATCGTCTACAACGATGGGCATCTTGACTTCCACCGTGCTGTAAACAGCTCCCTCGACCGTGGTTTGCGGAACAACACTCTTGTAGTCCAGCATGCAGATGCCGGACTCGAACATGGGCCTCCAGGAGCACGTGCTGTCAGCAGCGCAGCCGGCAGCATCCTCCACATAGTTCACCGCGCACTCGGAGATGTTCTCAAGTGTCTCGAGGTATTCCTTGACGCCGTAGAGGATCGTGTCGCACGTGCGAGACTCCACAGGGGCCGGCTGCCAAAGGCTGGTCCAAGCTCTCCAACCGTATCGCGTCTTGTCCTTGGGCATGAACTCGTCCGTGATGTTGGACGCAGGAGAGCTGATCTTCCAGGCGATGTAGTCATCCCCAGTGGGCCCGAAGGTGAGGCTACAGTCGCTCCAGCTCTTGCCATCAACGGCAGTGTCCCAAGCTTTGCAGAACTGAATGGCATCAGCCGTCTTGTAGAGCACCTCGTACTTGTCGTGGTGGTAGTTCAGGTTGATGCTAAAGAGATCCTCCGCCTGCTCCAAGGAAGCCTTGCAGTTGGGGCGCTCGCCACAGTACTTGGAGTCCTTGAGCACGTAAGGCAGGACGGGCTTGTCGCCCTCCATGAGGACGCTCACTGGGGCCTTCACGATGTGGTAATTGTCCGTCAGGGCAAACCAGGTGGTGTCGACCATCTTGGCAACCTCACAGAGGTGGTAATAGGGTGCCTCCTGGGCCTTGGTCATGTTCATGGAGATGTTGCCGTTGGGACCCATGATGGTCTCAAGGCTGTCCATCTCGTCATAGTATGCCAGACCCAAGATCTTCTTGAAGGGGTGATGCGTGGGAACGGTCTCCTTCAAGTGGCCGCGCTTGTCGAAGAAGGCAACTCCTAGGGTCACATCATCCTCCAGTGCACTGAACAAGTTCTTGCTGGAGCCGTGGCGGATGAAGGTCGGGAACTCAAAGCTCTTGTTCAGCAGGGTGTTAGCATAGTTGCCCACTAGGCTGGAGACTGCATTGTAGGTCATGTTGCCACCCATGGCAGACGTCCAGCCAGAAGCAAACTTCGCATCCCCATCCATGGCCGCCATTGTGATCATCGCAAAGCCCACATCGAAGGCCATCTCTTCCATCATGGCACTGTCGCTCGTGAAGGTAGTGTACAAATACGAGGTCCAGTTGTGATTCAGGTTGTAGATGGCATTGCCGTTGATGTGCTCCACCAAGTAGTTGGGCATCTGGTGCTTGAACAGATCCCACTTGTCACCAAGGTACTGGCTTCCGCGCACAGCGATGTTCATGTCCGGCATCTCATGGGCCTCCGTCTCGAACTGCTCCAGCCAGTAGTGCTTCAGTGGGACGGCATCCATCTCCATGAGGAAAAAGGCATCATACATGCCCTTGTATGTGCCGGTGTACATGGCATCCATGATGCTCTTGAAGACCGTGTTGGGACCGGAGACCCAGTGCTTGTTCGTGGTGTAGCCGTTGCTGTCATACACATCCTGCTCCGGGTTGAGCATGGCCGACATGCTCTTGATGCTCGAGAAACACTTCATCCAGTCGTACATGGTACCTGTGGTGATGTTGGTGCTGCCGTACATGTCTGTATCCATCTTCATCTGGAATCCATGCTCGAGGTTCATCACCACATCGTTGGCCATCTTGCTCTGCGAAAGGTCTTTGCTGTAGACAAGAATCAGGTCCTGGATCGTATTTGGTGCCTTTAAACAAATCCTATGGGTTCACCTGCTCCTCCAAGACTAGAAACGATGATTCTCAATCATCCATATGCTCCCGCCCGAACCCAAAAAAAGGTGCTCACTTTATGTTCAGAAGAGGTTGCCAACTCCCTGAAACCCCAAGCCCTGAATCCAACTGCTGCCCAACATCGATCATGCTCATGGTCGACTTGTTGGCGCAGGGCATGACAGTGTCCCAGTGGGTGGCGCTCTCTGACAGCAGTGTGACCTGTAGCCGTCACCGCGCTTTAGGGCACAGAGATTTCGGTTTAAGATCTGGAGTTCAATCTGTCAAGGTTGGTCTAACGTTAAAGAGGTCACGATTACAGGCTTCGAAAAGCAGGGGCCTTGCGGTAACCCGGTAAGCGCGCAAAAACAGTACAACCCGGCCTTTGTGGGACATGCGGCAAGTAAGCACCCTAAAACCCCCAAAACCACCCAAAAATGCCTTGTAGAAAAAAAGAAGAACCCCACGCTGGGAGTGGAAGCGAAAGTCTTGTTGCGGATCCGGGGCTGCGAGGCCATAAGAATGGAAAAGGGCATCAAACATGGAAGGGAAAAATGGGTGATATAGGGATTCAGCGTCTAAAGGCTAATTAGGCATCTTACGAAAGAAGAGCGTCATCTTCAACGCTTATTGTACAAGAATATGGGATATATCGTAGGCGGACCGCCCACCCAGAAAGAGTGACCATAACGGAATATATTAAAGTCCTTTTATATTCCTAGTATACCACTATTACAGGGTCAGGGGTCCTTCTAACAAATATCCTTGTTGTGATAAAACTTGGATTTTTTCCTAGCTAGGCCTTAATGGTGGTAGAACCCTAAGCCCCACCTCCTCATCTGTGGAAAAGACCCGGACCACAGCGTATTTCCCTTGACCAGCGGCATACACCTGCTGGACTTGCGGGAAGTACATGCGGAAGCCTGAATAATTACCAATATGACTTTGAGGTTTGTCTGAGATACCCTATATCATAATTATGCCAAGAATATAGGACCACAACATTGTGATTGTTCATTCTTGTATAGTACATGTGGGAGCTTGCCTAGTTTCTCTGTTCAAAAGACCTCGGAACCTAATGTGGCGTACTTGACAAGCTGTACATGTACTACCAAGTACTCCTCTGCAGTGCCAGGCCTGCGCTTACTCAACAAAATGCTGCGTTTTCAGGTTGCAGGGAGTTTCAGCCTTGGGGTTGAAACTTACTTAGTGGTGGTTGGCAGCTAAAGAAGGGATCATAATCCACATATATAATATTCCTTTATTCCCGACCAGCCCCCAGCGAGTAACGCCTAACCCCAACTTGCGGCACCTGCGCGAGTCCTACGGCAGCAAGGGCCCATGTCAGCATCATAGCAGTCAAATGACTTTGCTTCGTGGCGGGCGTGAGGAGCTGCACTGCAAACCTTCAACCAAAATGGCTGCGCAGCAGTAAAGGAGGTCTCCTGCGAGATCACGTCAGCCTCTTCAACGCCGAAAAACATCAGAATGACATGCACACAAGGAGGAACTACATGCAGTTATCAACATTAGCGGCTCTGAAAGTCACAGGTGCCTCAAATTCAATTAACCTGGGTTGCTGTTAAGGAACTTAATTCAAGTTACTTTGTTGGGGAGGCCCGATGATTTACTATATAGACCCCCTTCTGGTAACTCAATTCAAATTCCTCAACAGCAGCCCAGTAAAGCCTCAAACAAAGGCCCAGGAGATTCACCGGCACAGGGTTCGGCCAGCATCCCAAACACATCAATAAAAGAAGCATGAACTGGGTTGCTGCTAAGGAAATCAAATTGAGTTACCAGCATGGGTGTCTATAATAATGATAATAATATGGTTTCCCCAATATAGGAACTTAAACTAAATTCCTTAACAGCAACCCAGTGAATGCCCCAGGGGGCTTACCCCCGAACGAAGTACTTGAACATGTCGCGGTACGGCTTCGGAATCTTCACTGTACTGTAGCTATTGAGGGACCCTAAACCATAAACCCTAAACTCTACAGGCTTAAGTATTGGGCGTAGGTGATGCCTCCATAGACTCAGGCCTCCTCCTCACCTAGGTGGGTTTGCTACCAAGTTGCGGGGGTCCCGTTTTGAGCCTTTTGTGAAGTAAGGATTAGAAAGTGTCGAGCTCTATATTGGGGCCCCCAATGTATGAAACACCCACGATATACCATGATATACCCATAGCATGCCATGAAGAACTGCAACTTGCAACCTGGTTGTAACTTCAACTTTTTGCACCTCCCAATCTGGAATGTTTAGAATTACATCCCTCAGGGACCCTGGAGATCTAGAAGGCCAGGAGATTCAGGCCACGCGGCAAGACCCAGGGTTAAATGACCAAGGCCAAGCAGCGCGTTCAGAATCGCCTGAGATACGCCGAGACAAACCCTAAATTAACCCTAAACCCTAAACCCTACACCCTAGTTATCCCTAAATCTGCTTAATAAAGGGGGAAACCAATTAACCCTAAACCCTACACCCTAGTTATCCCTAAATCTGCTTAATAAAGGGGGAAACCTACACCCTAGTTATCCCTAAATCCCTAAATTAACCCTAAACCCTACACCCTAGTTATCCCTAAATCTGCTTAATGAAGGGGGAAACCTGGGCCCTACACCCTAGTTATCCCTAAATATGCTTAATAAAAGGGGAAACCTAGGGGTGGTTCCATAGACTGGCTAGTAGGGGAATCCCTGAACAGAAAGGCCCAGACAATCATGGAACTGCAACAGGCCTTAGGAGGACCCCCCCACCCTG